TACATGCACATGCATATATTTAAGAAAAATATGTTATGTTTATACATTTAAAATATGTATTTATAATATCAATTATATTAATATAAATATATACATGGAAATATTTTCAAAATATATACTGTATGCGTGTCTTTATATATACATAATAAATATACGCAGTATACACATATATTATGTAAACAAAAACCTTTATTTTGGATGTGATTTAATCGCCATTAATCGTTTGACAGCACTAATTTTTACCAGTATTTTACACTGCATTGAGTTGTGTTTTATAGTTAACAGGAATGTCCATAAAATTATTGGATAATGTCCTGTGTAATGAGCTGCCAGTGCGGACCACAAAACCAGTCTTAAGTCGCTGGGGTATATTCGTAGCAATAGCCAAAAAATAGCAGACCCTTACTACTGGCTTTGTGGTCCAGGGTCACATATCATGAACGCCATGTCTTGTACATCTTCATTAAATACAGATAAATGGTACCACACCCAACATATGTGCACTCTTACTCTCTGAACCTCTAAGTTATGTGGATGGAAATAAAGACGTTATTTGGTATGTTTTTGGGATAAATAATTATATTTGTATCTATGCTTTGGAAACACTTTGCACCATATTTATGCTTTCTAATTGACTGTTTTGCTCCACAGTCCCTAGAGTTTGTGCTGTATAGGTGCTTGGTGCGCGGTGGAGATAGTCTGCACCAATTTTCTGGCGAATAGCTCCCCAGCACTCAGTCAGGTCCATTTACCGCCAGCATATGCAGGGCTGTAAATCACACCTGTCAGTAGATCTGTGCTCTGCTCTCTCAATGCAGCTCCTGTGCTTTTGCATATGATTTGCAAGAGTATGGCAAGTCATTTTAGCAATTATGCTCACTAGTATTAATTTAAAACTAAACTAGTACTATTAAAAATTAATCTCATTTATTACATTGTTTTAAATGCCAATAAGTAATCCAACTATTAGTGACTAGTATCATATACAGTATCAATATAGTGACTACTATTGTTTTCACTTTTACTGTACTTATTCATTACATACTAGTACTTATTCCCTTGCTAGTAAGTATCCCAAGTATATAACAAGTAACTTGTTCCATTGTTATTGGTACAGAATGCATTGAATTCTATGGTGGTCTGTGATTCAGACATCATTTATTAACATTTTTAACATTACTATTAACATTTCTATTTCTTAAACTATCCCAGTATCTATTTCACTATTAGTACCTGGATAGTATTTTTAAGACACTATTTAGCTCACTAGCTGTGATTGCCTTTTACCATATATAAATTACTAGTTTTAACAAATAGAATACACACTAGTCTCTAATGAAGTACTATTAGTTTGTACTAAGAAAACTGGAAAATGTTGTAACTGTTTGCACAAGTAGTTAAATTAGTACTGAATAAGTGACTAACAGATGCAGGAACAAATTACTGTTACCAGAAATTTTGAAAAAAGATAGTCTACTCGTGACTACAGACTTCCTAGTGAATTCAACTTTAAAGTAGCCTACTAGTAACAGTAGTTTTAAGGAATAGCCTACCTGTAAGCGGCTTGCCATACAACAGATAGACACTGTTTATTGACATGAAAGAGGTTTGTCTTGTTTGTTCAAGTACTTTCAGCACAATTTCGTGCCGTACAGAAATATTTACCATACAATGTGGGACTGCTGGTCTGAATTAGGAAACAACACCCAGACTTGAATTATTTCAATTATAACTTATTGATACTCACCATAATTGAATAGACCAATGCAACGTAGTCTGCACCAATTTTCTGGCGAATAGCTCCCCAGCACTCAGTCAGGTCCATTTACCGCCAGCATATGCAGGGCTGTAAATCACACCTGTCAGTAGATCTGTGCTCTGCTCTCTCAATGCAGCTCCTGTGCTTTTGCATATGATTTGCAAGAGTATGGCAAGTCATTTTAGCAATTATGCTCACTAGTATTAATTTAAAACTAAACTAGTACTATTAAAAATTAATCTCATTTATTACATTGTTTTAAATGCCAATAAGTAATCCAACTATTAGTGACTAGTATCATATACAGTATCAATATAGTGACTACTATTGTTTTCACTTTTACTGTACTTATTCATTACATACTAGTACTTATTCCCTTGCTAGTAAGTATCCCAAGTATATAACAAGTAACTTGTTCCATTGTTATTGGTACAGAATGCATTGAATTCTATGGTGGTCTGTGATTCAGACATCATTTATTAACATTTTTAACATTACTATTAACATTTCTATTTCTTAAACTATCCCAGTATCTATTTCACTATTAGTACCTGGATAGTATTTTTAAGACACTATTTAGCTCACTAGCTGTGATTGCCTTTTACCATATATAAATTACTAGTTTTAACAAATAGAATACACACTAGTCTCTAATGAAGTACTATTAGTTTGTACTAAGAAAACTGGAAAATGTTGTAACTGTTTGCACAAGTAGTTAAATTAGTACTGAATAAGTGACTAACAGATGCAGGAACAAATTACTGTTACCAGAAATTTTGAAAAAAGATAGTCTACTCGTGACTACAGACTTCCTAGTGAATTCAACTTTAAAGTAGCCTACTAGTAACAGTAGTTTTAAGGAATAGCCTACCTGTAAGCGGCTTGCCATACAACAGATAGACACTGTTTATTGACTCGAAAGATGCTTGTGTGGTTTGTTCAAGTACTTTCAGCACAATTTTGTGCCATACAGAAATATTTACAGTACAATGTGGGACTGCTGGTCTGAATTAGGAAATAACACCCAGACTTTAATTATTTCAATTATAACTTATTGACACTCACCATAATTGAATAGACCAATGCAACGATGCTTAGTGGCCACACGGGACAAAAGCAGGACAAAATGACCAGTATGAGGTAGTCTTTGGGTTTCTGCTGCTCTTGGGCGGCATTACCGGTCGATGAAGTGCGGCTCAGGCTCACTCTGGACTGAGAGAGAGGAGCCGACCCGAGCTGCCCCGCTGATCCGGATCTCAGCGGCAGACTGTGGCCGTTCTGATCCCCGTCGAGAGCCTTGTCATCCCCGACACTGACCGTGAAGGAGCTGGAGGTCTTTACCCCGGTGGGCTCGGTGGTCACGAGGAGTTTCTCGGTCTCGGCTGGTTGCGTTCCGCCGCTCTCCCCCAGATTCGATTTCGCAAACTCCGTATCTGTGTTTATTGCCATTGTGGAAATCCAAAGTTAATGTTTCTGGAAGATAACAAAAAAAAACCCTCCTTTTGGCGAATGTGAAATATTATCAAAGTTGTCAGGCGACGCTAATTTCCCATTGTTTACGTTTTTTTTTTTTTCAACGTAAAATAACGCGTTTGATTGTATTCATAAGGTTAATATGACTTTCAACGTCGAGTGAATATGTCCAGATTCTATTTCTCGCAATTTTTTTCTACTAATTAAAACAAGTCAAAGAGGCGTTGTGACTTTATCCTCCCATGTCGATATGGTCATGTTTAATGGATTCAGTTCAATCCAGATCGGAAGACGATCTCCTCTGCCCACACACTCAACTAAACCACAGAGACGCGACTCATCTGGACTTCCGCATTTCCCAAACGTCTTAAAAGGCGTAGAAAAACCTGTTTTCTTGTGTAAAAATGAAAAAGCAGGTGCCTTTGTGATATTGCAGCAGAGGAACAGAAGGTTAAAGTAGTTGCGCAGCAGTGAGTGGAGTGATGTTCCTCTCTCACCTCTTCTGCATCAATGATGGAGGTGCGCTGGTCCTGCATGACTTTCTATGTAATACTCCCAATGTTCTTCCCCTGGGGATGCTGCAATACCTGTTTGCGAGCCTTTTAAAACATTTTATACCATAAACAAGCATTACATATGCTATTTTCTTATTATCTGGTTACTTAACCAATTAGTCAAAGATTTAAGTGTTTCAAAGGAGGATACACTGAGAGAGAAAGAAAAAGTAGCCCATATATTTTGCTGAATAAAAGTAGGATGTTTGGAAAAGTTACATGAGACTTGACCACCTATTATTGTATCTTTTTATCAGTGATCTCTCATTAATCCATCTAGTGGATGGTGTTTAAATTATCTATGTATCTGTGTCCCCACTCAATGACAAGCATGGTTACATGAGGACACTGTAGATATGCTGGGAAACAGCAGACAAACACAAGGGAATCCCCTTAAAATAATATCTTATGATGTAATGACATTGATCCAGACTGTTCCTGAACACATATCATATCCCAGTCATAAGGGTCAATTTTCTGAAATGTACATTTATACATCATCTGAAAGCTGAAGCTTTCCATTGATGTATGGTTTGTTAGGATAGGACAATATTTGGCCAAGATACAACTATTTGAACATCTGGAAACTAAGGGTGCAAAAAAATAAAATATTGAGAAAATCATCTTTAAAGTTGTCCAAATTAAGTTCTTAGCAATGCATATTACTAATCAAAAATTAAATTTTTATATATTTACAGTAGGAAATTTACAAAATATCTTCATGGAACATTTTTTTGGCAAAAAATAAAAATCTATCATTTTGACCCATGCAATGTATTGTTGGCTATTGCTACAAATATACCCCAGTGACTTAAGACTGGTTTTGTGGTCCAGGGTCACATATGTATTAGTACAGGGTTTCCCAAACTGGGCTCATGAATTGATGAAAGGCTGAAATTCAATGCATAAAAATGCAACATCTTACAGTTATATTTGGCAAACAAGAAATCCAGGAGACCTCAAATAATTAAATAGTTTTACTTGCTCAGTTAAAATGTTTAAATCACTCAAACATGATTTATTTATGAACATGATACATTTTATACACATGCTCAATTTTATATGTAATATTTAAATGCATTATAGGACTGCAATGTCTGTGCAAAAAGAGTGGGACACACTGAGTTATCATGAAGTTTATGATGTTTTGAGACACAAAATGCTGCGGATGAATTAATTATTCATTATTCAATTATCCACCACAACATAGCAACTGATTAAGTACTATTTTATTGGATGATCTGGCAAAACTACAGTCACACTAAGTTAAATCTTACATTATAATGTAGATACATGAAGAAAAGCAACAACGCATTTCAGAGATAAAAAGTCTAAAGGGTTCAACTTTATCCCACATCATCGTTGCACCTCTCTTGAAATTTTTTTATGATTAAGACTCATTGACTGGTGTTTTCTGGTGTCATTTCAGCTGGAGTCATTTGTTCTGAAGTTATAAGATCCTGGTCTGCTTGTTCTGGACAGGTTGGCTCTGGAGTAATATCTTCAGAAGCTGATTGCTCCAGAAATGTTTGTACTGCTTCTAATTGTTCTGGAGTAGCTTCTTCTATGGTAGTTTGTTCTGGAGTCACATTCTGAGTAGCTGATTGTTCTGGTATCTCATGATCAGAACTCGATAGTGCAGTAGATGTTTCTTCTTGTGAAACAACTTCTTGTGTAACTTCCTGTGCTGAAGTTATTTGCTCAGGAGATGTTTGTGGTGAATTTGTTTGTTCTTCACCTGTTTTCTCTAGCGGTGCTTCCTCTGGACTCTGTTTTTCTTGAGTTGTTTCTTGTTCTGGAGATGTTTGCTCTGAAATCTCTTGATCTGGATTCTCCAGCTCTAGAGACCCTTGCTCTCTCGCCATTTTTGCGAACATGCCCTTGTACTTCAGTCTGTCTTCCTCATTTTTTAACTCCATTCTCATTTTGAGAACTGCAAGCTCTTTCTTGATTGTCTTTTTCATGCCTGGGTCCAGATCCAGGACTCTTATGAAATCATCTCTGGCCTCAGCTTCATTCCACACCTCCATGTGCGCTTTTCCACGCAGATAGAAGGCTTTCATTGCCCCTGCAAATACAGAGAATGCTTTCAACTGGTGCATTTCACATCAGGAAACACATCTTATAAGGCCAATTCACATCGCATCAACAGATGCTGATCAAGCGACAGTCAACCAATTACAGTACATGAATTCTTCTCAGGCATTCCAAGACCCAACAATCGCCACATGTTCAGTCGGTGAAACCAAGCGCTGACCAACACCAACAGATGACAATCTGACAAAACCAGACAAACTTCTGTTGCCATTTGTTTGCGTCTGTAATTGGCTGGAGAACTGACAATTTCCTGTTACTCACCAGGGTGCTGGTTGATGATGTCAGTCGTGTGTTCGATGACCTCATAGTACTCCTCCATGCGCAGCAGACACTGACAGTAGTTTAAAGTGAGCGTGTTGGCCATCTTCTCTAGTCTCAGCCAAGGAGCTTCCCATGCCTTTTCCTGAAGAAACAGACACATTTCGATTAAATGAGACGTGCCATACCTCATTAAAGGGATTGTTCACCCCAAAATGTAAATTCTGTCATTAATTACTCACCCTCATGTCGTTCCAAGCTTGTAAGACCTTCGTTCATCTTCAGAACACAAATTAAGATATTTTTGATGAAATCCAAGAGCTCTCTTACCCTCCATAGACAGCAACAAAACTGACACATTTAAGGCCCAGAATGGTAGTAAGGACATAATTTAAATAGTCACATTTAATATGTGACATCAGTGGTTCAACCTTAATTTTATGAAGCTACGAGAATACTTTTTGTGCGCAAAGAAAACAAACGAAAAAAAAAAGACTTTATTCAACATTTTTTTCTCTTCTGTCAGTCTTCGACACGCATTCACGACAGTAGCACGACGCATGCGTGTGCATTCCTCTGCTTGCAAACAAGTCTATGTGGGGTCAGAACGCTTGCAGATTTAATCAAAAATATCTTAATTTGAGTTCTGAAGATGAAAGGTTTTTGGGTGAACTATCCCTTTAATATTACATTAGCGGTATTGTTGTTCAATCTTTTCATGATCAAAATAATTAAAAGATATTTTTCTCAGAATTTAGACATTTTTAAGCTACTGAATGTATACAAAACCGCTACAGAGGTGTATTTTTACCTTTGTCTGCACATTCTTGATACACATAATGGCTTCCTTATATTTCAGTGTGGCGTCCTCATATCGGCCCTGTTTGAAGAGCTTGTTCCCTTGACCGTGGAGCACAGGTACCGCTTTCAATCTCTCTTCATCATTCAGAGCCCAGGACTCTCTGTCATACTCACTGGGCTGCTGTACCTGAACCCATTATTGGTTATTGCAGTAAGTTTCACACACATAATTAATTTCCAGTTTGTGCCACAGCCTAAACAGATATTAAAATGATCCTCTAGCTCCACCTAGTGGACATTTTGTGTACTGCTCCTCTGTATTAAACCGCCATAGCAGTCTGCCATAGATCAACTCAAGGCAGTAATAATGTATTTCACTAATTATCATATTGCAGATACACAAATAAAAAGCAATGAAAGGTTACAGCTGGTGCATATGGAAATTATATTATTACAGAAGACAAAGTCCTGCACACTGCTGTAGCTTGCAAAGAATAATTCAATTCAAAGTGTATTTGTTAGCACTGCAGCATTTCGATCTTTCTAAATTCCTGACGAAGGTCTTTAGGCTAAAACCTTGCAGTGATAATAAATATCAAGCCTTCTTTGCAAGCTAAAGCAGTGTGTGAGACCTGTTCTTCATGTAAAAGTATTCATGTATTAAATATGAAAGTATGTTTTTTGGCAAAATTTGCAAATATTTTTTCAATGTGCCTGAAAGTCCAGACCTTCAGAAGTTCCATTACAAAGTAAAGAGGCTGTGGTTCTTTCTGAAGCTCATCCAGATCATCATAGCCCAGGCTGTGGTAGGCAAACATGTTGGCCATGCCGCAGGTGTGAATGTGCCAGTCCACTGGATCTTTCCCCGCTGCGATACGCCGCAGACTCTTTGCCACTATTGGATACATACCAGTGTGCTGCTCGGCCACAGAGGAAAGAACATAAAATACTTATTAGCACTAAAACTTATTTGTAATCCCTAATATAAGTCATTTTTCAGGGTAAATGTTACATTTATTGGAGTTACTGCAAATATTTCCATTTCCAACTGATATTTTAAAAGCCATGGCACTTTTCTAAAGCTTACAAGTGTGTGTTTATGTGGCTGATGTGTCCATGACTGTGTTTGTATTAACAATCCTGGTATTTCCCATAATATTATAGAGACTGTTAGAGCCATACTGTATCTCAGGTTCTGGAGCTGGGATGACAGCTGTAAATGATGATTACATCATGTGGAACAGCCTCAGATTAATCCTATTTTGTAAGGATTTAAGCTTTCCATCAGGCTAATGTATAACAGTCTGGAACTCACTATAGTATTCCACAACTTTGTGCTTGTAGCGTACCATTAAAGTCACTGACGGAAAAGTCAGTCGCCACGTCTCATCTGAACGCATTTACTGTGTAAAGGGTTATCGCTATCGGGTTATGATATCAGTTTACAATTTGGCCTTCACTCAAACTTGAGGTGTGAATCATTTTTTAAGATAATTTTCTACTGTTCAAAGTTTTGGGTTCAGGAATATTTTTTTTAAATAATGTATTTTATTCAGCAAGAATACATTAATTTGATCAAAAACTGCCTTAAGGACTTTTACAAAGTTACAAAAAAAATCTGTTTCAAACAAATGCTATTCTTTTGCACGTTCTATTCATCAAGGAATCCTGAAAGAAAAAAAAAAGTATCACCATTTCCACAAAAATATGAAGCAGCACAACTGTTTTCAACATTGATAATAAGAGGAAATGTTTCATGAGCACCAAATCAGCATATTAGAATGATTTCTGCTGAAAAATCAGCTTTGTCATCACAGGAATAAACTAAAATATATTCAAATAGAAAATGGTCATTTTAAATTGTAATAATATTTTAAAATATTACTGCTTTTACTGTACAGCCCTGGTGAGCATAAGAGACTTCTTTCAAAAACGTTACAAATTTGACTGACCCCAAGCTTTTGAATGGTTAGGTAGACCTATATAATATTACATATATGAATAACTTAATTTTAGCACCACTGAGAATAGAAAAGAGAATGGCTTTTAAATTGCAATTTAACTGAATTTGAGGGAGCCAAGAGGATGTACAATTGAAAAAATAAATTTGAGGAAGTAGTATTAAAAATAGAATGAAATTCAAAGAAATTCATATAATTGTAACTGTAGTTTTTAACTACAAATAATAGACAATTAACAATAATTAATAGTCAATAAAATTATATAATTATTATTATTATTGATTTTTGTGTCTTTGAATTTTAATTCGATAGATTCCATTTACTTTAGATCCAGTTCAATATCCGATAAGTCTGGACTATTCAATTTAATCACAATGTTTAATTCCACCGCTGTAATTTATAGTATTGAAAATCACATTATACTTACAATGACGTCACACCAGAACTCAGCCACCTCCCCTATGTGCATGGACATGAGTAGAGTCTCCCAAACATCCAGTTTAAACATGTTCCCGATCACCATTTCCATGGGCATACCTGCTTTCTTACTGTCATCTATCACGGTGCGCTCATCATTACAGAGCTGAGTGCGGAAATGGAACGTCACCTGCAGGGAACATGGAACGAAAGAGTTAGATATTTTGTTAGTTTGGGTTTAATCTGCTGTTAAATCCACAAAAAAACCATTACTCGGCAATAAAAATCTTTATATACCTCATAAGACCTTATAGTTTTGGTTATTCAAAGCCACACACTCCCTACAGATGACAACTTACTAAGTTTACATTAAAGAGACACATCTGATTATATAATGCCATAAAAACAACCTATTACGAGTTTAATGAAAAAAGACGTGATCCCTAGATTCAGTTAGGCAAACAATGAAATGACTCACATCCTGGAACAGTTTCTACTGTTACAAATGCAATGACGCTCCTGCCATATATGCATATAAAATATGACTGTGAAGCTGTACCTTAGTTCCTGTGACAAATTTAGGCTTCTCACTGATCCCTCCATGCAAGATGCTTTTCTTGATCCCTTCAACACCCAGCATCATGCTTTCCTCCATAATGTCTGATATCTTTGTATTGGAAGTGTGTTTGTGTGACTGAAGAGGTGTAAAGACTGACTGGATCTGGATTAAGAAGGCTGGGATAACAGGATTAGGCCCAGCAGCCCCACCTTCTCATCCACAGAAGGGCTTTCCTCAGCATTTTCACACTACATCCACAACCAGAAGAGTCCAGAACGTTCTGGATGAAGCTGGGGTTCTTCAGCCGCCTTCTGTTCAATCCCAACATAGTGGTCTACAGGAACACTGAAAGAAAGGATCTGATGTAGAGCTGGGTATGGACTCAACGACCACATCACACACATGTGGCCGACAGCTGGATCGCAAAGAGCGTGTTGCAGCACTGCCGGTGCCGAGCTCCTGCAGAGACAAAAGTTTGGAACAATCCATCTGCATTATGCCGTTTTGTAAGACTGTCCTGGATTAGACACTAAATTACATGCAATTATGGTTTTTACAAGCCATGTCTGAATATTGTGTACCGGCCAATCGCATATCTGAACCCTTATTAGAATCTGCAATATTAGTAAGCATTGGATTCACCGGACAAAACAACCAGGATGGGACCCAACTATCAAAAGTGTAAAAACACATTTTGTGGTAATCACAGGACAGGTATCTGCCATTAATAAGAACTGTTCAAAAGGTTACACATTCTGTAGCCATCTGATATATATTGGCCGTAGCTGATATTCTTAAGATGCTTTAGTACAAGTTAAGAGTTTATTGTACATTTCCTGTAACAATAACAGAATGTACTGAAGTTTGCATTCCAGAAATCACATGGTCAAGGTCAACACTGTCTCTGTTTTTTTGAATGCTGCCATCCAAGTCTATTTAAAAACAGTATTGCCCTCTGCTGGCCACAATGTGGACTTTGCGATCTTAATTTGGCGCTTATTTTAGGACTCTCTTCAGATTCAGAATGTCACCGTCTATGTCTGTTGCTTTTATTGAAATAAAGAAGGTTTAAGTGAATGGTTTGTCATTGTATTATATTTATAGTGTATGTTTAGTTAAAAAGCAGTCATGATTGTATATAATATTCAATAAGGCTCTGTAGTTGTACAGTAGCTAAGCTAGCTTATATCATCTTGCAGAAGTAATATTGAAGGTTTCTAAACCAAGTGGGCTTCCAGAAGTATGAGATAACACTGTCATTCAAAAGTTTGGATATTTTTTAATGTTTTTTTTTTGTGTGTGTGTGTCATTTATTTGATCAGAAAAACAGTAAATATTTATAACAGTATTAATGTCAAATATTGTTGCAATTGTTTTTTCCTTTTTTTTCTGTGATTGCAAAGCTGAATTTGCAGCATCCATTACTCCAGTCTTCAGTGTCACATGATCCTTTAGAAATCATGATTCAAATATGCTGATTTGGTGCAGAAGAAACATTATTCATGTTACAACATTTGTGCTGCTTAATTTTTTTGTGGAACCATGATACTTTTTTTCAGGATTCTGTAATGAATAGAAAGTTCAAAAGAACAGCATTTATTTGTGATATTTTTATTTTAAATTTTTTTGTAAGTGTAAGTTTTTGTAAATAAATATTTTGCTGTCACTTTTAATCAAGGTAATGCATCCTTGCTGAATAAAAGTACACATTTCGTTAAAAATCTTACTAACAGCAGTTTTTCAACAGTCTGTGTCTGGTGCTAGACATGTCTGAGGTTCATTCTGAATGCTCTTCATAGTCAAAGATGAAAGTTGTAATCTTCTCCTCTCAAAAGACTTCCAAAAGTGGAATTATAAGCATGTTGCCATGGGTACAGGCCAGAATCGAACATAAAAGCATTATTGTGTTGTTTGTTTTCCCAATGTTTTCCTGAATTTCCCGATTTCAACATTCAACATCAATTTCATATAAAACAAAACTGATTAAAAATGTTAATGACAGCGCCTATATTACATAGTTTCACTGTTAATGACAAGGTTAAATCATTTAGACCTTGTGTCTGTTTCAATGGCTTCACTCTTCTCTGGTGTTTTATGATTTATGACATTTGGTGTTACCCAAATTACTTTTTGATTTACAGCCTGTGACAGAGCAGAAAATATGACATAATGTGGAAGTTTACCTCAATCAAAGCATATCACATTCATCTTGATCTTTTTGTTTTTGTTTTTGTTTTTTTGCTAAAAAGCTTTCATCTATTTCAGGAGCAGGTTAAAATTTACATGTGAAAGTACATTTAATTAAAGAACAATTACATTTATTTTTAAAAAATTAAAACAAAAAATTTCTCGTTGCTAAGATCAGTTGATTTCTCGAGCTCTGCATGGCTGTTTGATGAATGCTGCAGTGGAGCGGCTGCAGTGCGATGGCTGTAAGTGGGTCTGATCTGTGCAGCTCTGTGATTGCTCACCTGCCACAGACGCAGAAGGACATTAATGATGCTGTGAGTGAGGTTTGATGTCAAGAGTGAGTCATGGAGACTGCGTCAGTTCACCCACGCATGCTGTGTTGTGCGTGTGCAGCCACGTGGAGAACGGCATGTGCGCCATCAAAACGATTCTATGAAAAAAAAACGAAAACCTGAATATTGAAAATGTATCAGCAATCCGCTCATGTAATGTGACACTCACTGCTGGGCTCAGAATTAAGCTGTGATCCTGTGTTCATAAAAAGATGAGGAGGGCACCCAGGAACAGACAGGTGACTGGTCTGTCAGCGTTAAGCCATGGTGATGTGTGTGTGTGTGTGTGTGTGTGTGTGTGTGTGTTACTCTCATCCAGCCTTGTCATAATGTGACACATTGTGCTGACCTGACACTACATGAAACTGTAGGAAACATCCTGTGTTAGGAGAGGAAGTGGTATCTGAGACACCATTCCCATTCAGGGAGCCCATTTTCTGTGGCCTTTTCACACATCCTGTGCTCTGCTTTCAGCCGACAGGACACGTGTGTTAGGATCTCTTTAGTCACCCATGCTTTACTGAATCAAAGGAGCCCTGAACACTTCTGCATGACAAGCTCATCATACACTCATGTGTGTGTGTGTGTGTGTGTGTGTGTGTGATTGATAGATAGATAGATAGAGCAACAGAAGAATAGATAGATAGACAGAGCAACAGAAGGATAGATAGATAGATAGATAGGCTCCAAGCAGTGAGGTGAGTGTGTGTAATACCTGTAAGCTCCAGCAGGAGGGTGTCTGTTTGTTCCACTTTGTTTTGAGTTGATCAGAGCTGCCTGGACTTGCAAAACAGACAAACCTGTAAAACCGAACACTGCGCTATTTCTCATAAATGTTCTAAAGTCAGCACTATCCAAGACACTGGTGTTTCATTCAAAGTGTCTTTAAAAAAGGGTCAGTGATCTATCAGTCAGGATCACATGATCCAAAAATAAAGGTCTATATCCAAAGATGAATGTGGTGGTAGCCTAAAGCCACCAAGATTATCTTACCTAACCCTAACCCAAACCCTACGCAAAATAAGGGTGACTGGAGAGTTACTGGGATCACAAACCTGATCTGTGACTATTGCACCCTTGAGCAACTCACTTAACCCCAGAATGTCTCTCTAATGAGTATTCCATCTGTCACTAAACAGTAACTAACTTAAAAGTCATTTTTATGCGATCAGATATACAAAAAACCTTATACGACAGTAATCTGAGTTCCTTGATATAATACTGTTAAGATACGAACTCCTGACAGGATAATGAATTCAGAGTTGACAGTGTCATGTTGGCCTTTGGGATCCAGGGCAACGAGTGGCCCGATATCTCCCCGCTGGAGCCTCATGTACCTCCCCTCGACCTTTAGATACATACCACCGCGCATAGCAGGCAGTACAAAGGGCACATGAGCGCACACTCTCACACTGAGCACTTGCTGACACAGCCACCTTCCCACCATCATGTGGGACGAGCTATTCTATAAGCTCCGTCACTCATGGAGACCAGCTGACCAGGATATTCTGGGATGGCCGTAGAATCAGATGGTCCAGCTCTCAACCCTAAATGCTCTTTAAACTCTTCGGACTTTAGAGACCTGCAGATCTATGACAGAAAGTATGGACACTCCACGGGCCAAAGCATTATCGCTAAAGAGTCTGGCCAAAACTGAGTGATCTGTGCACAGGTGTCATTTTGAATTGAGTGTTCCGTATACTAGCTGTTATTCTCTGCTAAATCTCACTCAAAAAGATACATCCAAATTTTTATCAAAAGAGGGCAAAAGCCGCACAAGTACCAAGAGTATTTGACTGACATCAAACCTGTCATAATGCTTCTTATAGCCATTGCAAGTGCAGGATTTGAGTGTCATGGTGGAATGGATGATTATAACAAATTGTTAACTTTTGAACTGCACCATCCTAAAAAATATGTTTTTGCATTGAGCTTAAAGCTCTATGCGTTCGTCTGTTTGCATACGCTAAGAGTTTACATCCAAACTAAATGTATATTTTGGGCTTAACAGACCTTTTTTGAGCATTCAAAACACTCGTACATGTGCATTTGTCTGCACACAAGTCCAAGCGGATGCAAAAATTACATGGGTGATGTGCACAGACATCAGCTAATTGTGAAAATTACATAACGTGGACTGTCTGTGAGCAAGAGCAAAACGTGAACAAATGAAGAAGACTTTGGGCTTATTATATTTCAGTTTTTTTAAATATAGATTTTGCTCTTTATCTGACTTAAAACTGAACTTACAACAAATAAAAGAGTGACAGCCCAAATAGCCAATCAGCTTGCTGCATTGAAAAGCTTCATTTGCCATCCGCCATTTTCTCAGTCAAGAGCTGTGTCCCAGTTTAGAAATGCATCCTTCATTTCCGGAGCAATGAAGGATACAACTAATGGATCCTTCACGACCCAGACTATCATGAGATTCATTGTGCCAATGACAACAGGATTAAAAAAAAACTAAATGCAGGATTACACTTTTGGTTTCAAAACAGTCGAACATATAATAATTCAAATGTATAAATGTAAAAAAAAAAAAAAAAACTTTAAAGCTGTTTAAATGTTGACTTACATCTTACTAAAATGTGATTTTATAGTTAAGTTCTACCTTCACGGACTTTGAAGGATGCAGCCTCTGAAATTGGGACACAGCTAAGATTAACTGAACTGCCGAACACATACAAACCTCCCTTTTTGGCAAATTCCTTTATGGTAAAGTGGTGTTGTTGTGGCACATGTAATTTGAATACTGGATAAACTAAGATAAACTGCATTTTAAGTAATTTTTATCTAAAATCATCAGGTAGTTAAGCATTGGATAGAACAATAGAATCTTTGTGATTAAGAATAAAATATACTGTTAAAATTCACCAAGATCAAAAAGTAGTGCAATTCCACTGCTATTGTGAGAAAAATGATAGTGTCAGATTTGCA